TCTGCATTGAGAAAATTAAGATTCAAATGTGATTTTTCCCCTCTTTTGCGAAGTTACTTATGGTCTGTGTTACTACCTCTACTTTCTCTATTTGAATTAATGGCTTTGTGAGTGGCATCATCTATCCATCTAGAGGAATAAGGCAGGAGAATCCTTTATCCCCCTACTTATTCATTATAGTCACAGAAATGCTATCTTCTTTGATCTATGATTCTTTGCATAGAGGAAGACTGAGTGGGATCAAGATTTCTAGAAATGGACCTGCATTATCACACCTTCTCTTTGCAGATGATGCTTTATTCTTTTGCAAAGCTGACATTGGCCATGCTAATGAACTTATGATTCTGTTAGAGAAATATAGATTGTTTACAGGGAAAGGGTGAATCTCCAGAAATCTTCTACTTTTTTCAATAAGAACACTAGTCCCCACATTCAACACTTGATCTGCTCTGCTATAGATGGTATCCAGCTCCATACATCTACTAGATACCTGGGCCTTCCTTTGGTGATAGGCAGGTCTAAAACTGAGGTTTTGCTTATGTTCTAAACTCTGTCAAGTCTAAGCTGTGGAGTTGGAAGAACAAAATGATCTCCATTGCAGGGAAAGAGGTTCTCTTCAATGCAGTGATTGATGCCCTTCCAGTGTTTACCCTGTCATGCTTCAAGCTTCCTTAGGCCATCTGCAAAGCCATTGCCAGTCTCAGTGCTTTTTTCTGGTGGTGTAAAGAAGATACTAAAGAGAGAGACATTCATTGGAAAGCTTGGAACCTATTATCCCTGCCTAAGGAAGATGGTGGCATTGGCTTCAAAGATGTAAATCTCTTCAACAAGGCCCTTATTTGCAAACAACTGTGGAGAGTTTCCACCCAGCCAGACTTAATGGTGAGCAAAGTTCTAAAGGATGGGTACTTTCCTAATTGTTCTATCTTTGAAGCTCAGAAGTCTCAGCAGGATTCATGGCTCTGGCATACTTGGCTGGATTGTCTTCCTATTCTTAAACAAGGCCTCAGAACTGAAATCAGAAATGGTGCCCTTACTAAAATTGATGATTGGAACTGGATTCCTTCTTCCCCTCACCAAACCTAAGCTTATGGATCTTGCTTAGGGGCACATTACATGGGTTAAGGAGCTTATGATGGATGATGGTTTAAACTGGAACGACTGGTTGGTTAAGCAGCTTTTAATGAGGTAGACAGTCAAGCCATTCTCAACATCAAGACTTTAAATCCTCCCAGAAATGACAAACCTATTGGTGTCTTAGCAAGAAGGGGATCTTCTATGTTTTTTCTACTTATGAATTTCTGGTCAGTCAAAAAACCCTTCTCCTTGATATCTCAGGTTCTAGCCTTTGCCAGGTTGCTGTCAAAAAAGCAAAACTTAGAAGTTAGGGCCTTAAGATCAAAGGGACAATTAAGCATTTCCTTTGGAAGTGTTTAACTAACACCCTTCTTGTGAACACCAACTTGTACAAAAGGGGACTTGTTGTTGATGTTCTCTGCCATTGCTGTGGTGAGCAACCTGAAACTGTGGAACATCTTCTATTCCATTGTACTAGATTTCAAGATCTTTGGAAGGTAGGGCCTGTTCACTGGGATGGGTTGGCTCTGAGGATTGCTGCTTCAGGTCCTGGTGGTGACATCTCTGTTCAATTAACAAAACTCAAGTAGCTGAAGACAGAATCCAACTTACCACCTATCTTCTTTGGTGGATGTGGAAGGGAAGAAATCTATGGATGTTTGAGAAGGTTAAGATGTCAGTCCATGTGCTTATTAGAAGGGATCTTAAGGACTGGCAGGAGTTCTTTGCTGTGAGGGTTTGAGGTCTTTTCTGTCATTTGTTTTCGATTTGTTTGTTGTTTTTTGTTTTGTTGGTTTGAAGTTGGTGAGTGTGCTAGGCTTTGAGCAGTGGTGTGCAATCCTTCTTCTTTCCTTTTTCATTTGGTGTCTTCTAGGCCGTTTTTTTAAGCGTGTTCTCTCATTTTTAGTTTTCGGATGTTAGTTTTAGCTTATCAGATCATTGGTCTCGGTTGTACTCGAACGGTGTTCTCTTTGAATTTATATATATCTTCTATCGTTTCGAAAAAAAAAAGAATTAGAATTAAAAAAATGTTGTGAAAAAAACTTAATAAGAACCTCTACTTTCTTTCTACTATAATTTTGTTTAATAAACAAGATCCCTTCATCTTTTTTAAAAATGTAATTTGTTAATTAATAACTAATAATCCATAATTTTAGATAAAATTCGAGCACTCATACAATATTTTACGTTCCAAATAATCAAATTAAGAATGTTATACATAATTTTTATTTAACGATATTTTTAATGTCATGAGACAATTTTAATACAAAAATACATTTTAAAAATAAAGTAAGCAATAATGCTCCGTGCATTGCACGGTGTACTAATTTAAATAAAAGTATAGAACGTGTCTGATATATATTATTTATTATTCTTATAGCATGAAGGTTTAAACTGGAACGACTGGTTGGTTAAGCAGCTTTTAATGAGGTGGACAGTCAAGCCATTCTCAACATCAAGACTTTAAATCCTACCAGATATGGCAGAACTTATTGGCGTCTTAGCAAGAAGGGATCTTCTCTGTTTCTTCTACTTATGAATTTCTGGTCAGTAAAAAAACCCTTCTTCTGATATCCCAGGTTCTAGCCTTTGCCAGGCTGTTGTATAAAAAACAAGACTTAGAAGTTGGGGCCTTAAGATCAAAGGGACAGTTAAGCATTTCCTTTGTAAGTGTTTAACTAACACCCTTCCTGTGAACACCAACTTGTACAAAAGGGGACTTGTTGTTGATGTTCTCGGCCATTGTTGTGGTGAGCAACCTGAAACTGTGGAACATCTGCTATTCCATTGTACTAGAGCTCAACATCTCTGGAAGGTAGGGTCTGTTCACTGGGATGGGGTTGGCTCTGAGGATTGCTGCTTCAGGTCCTGGTGGTTGAATCTCTGTTCAATTAACAAAACTCAAGTAGCTGAAGACACAATCCAACTCACCACTTATCTTCTTTGGTGGCTGTGGAAGGGAAGAAATTTATGGATGTTTGAGAAGGTTAAGACGCCAGTCCATGTGCTTATTAGAAGGGCTCTTAAGGACTGGCAAGAGTTCCTTGTTGTGAGGGTTTGAGGTCTTTTATGTCCTTTGTTTTCGGTTTGTTTGTTGTTGTTTGTTTTGTTGGTTTGAAGTTGGTGAGTGTGCTAGGCTTTGAGCAGTGGTGTGCAATCCTTCTTCTTTTCCTTTTCATTTGGTGTCTTCTAGGCCGCTTTTTTAAGCGTGTCCTCTCATTTTTAGTTTTCGGATGTTAGTTTTAGCTTATTAGACCGTTGGTCTCAGTTGTGTTCGAACGGTGTTCTCTTTGAATTTATATATATCTTTTATCATTTCGAAAAAAAAAGAATTAGATTAAAAAAAATGTTGCGAAAAAACCTTAATAAGAATCTCTACTTTCTTTCCACTATAATTTTGTTTAATAAACAAGATCCCTTCATCTTTTTTAAAAATGTAATTTGTTAATTAGAGCACCCGCATCGCACATTTTTTTCTGGCTGTTTAAATGGAAGGGGGGCGTTAAAACGGATGTGGCGCGTTCATTAAATAAGGCCCCCCCTTTGCCGTTCAAAGCCCTGAACGCCACTTACTTGTTTTATTATTTTTCTTTTTGTTTTTCTTTTGTTGTTTTAAATGTTATTTTAATGTATTTTTTTTATTATTTATCAAAATTATTAACTTATCTTGTTTCTTTTTCTTTATATATATATACTTAGTTCAATTATTATTCAAATCATACTTCTCAATATGCATCAATAATTTACATATTTTATCATCTCATTCTTTATATATATATATATATATATATATATATATATATACACTACGATTTTATAACTATCTTGACTCATTTTGCCACCAACTAAAAAAATTATTTTTTTCTTGTGCAATTTTATTTTAACTTATTTTAGTCTTGTAGTGTTATTTTATTTTCATGCATTTAAAATCTATTATTATAATTTAAAAATAATAAATTTTTATTTTTGTAGAGAATAGAATATTAAAATTTATATTGAATGAGTGGATAATGGATCCCATGTATGTGTTTAAATGGATGGATAAGAATGTGGATTTGTGTTTAAATAGAGAGAAATTTAGTGGAAAGATGATGTGGATGAGAGAGAGTGTTAATTTTTGATTGAATGAATGGTATGAATGTGGATGCCCTTAATAACTAATAATACATAATTTTAGATGAAATTCGAGCTCTTATATAATATTTTACGTTCCAAATAATCAAATTAAAAATGTTATACATAATTTTTATTTTCATGATATCTTTAATGTCATGAGACAATTTTAATACAAAAATACATTTTTGTTGTAATACAGATTGTCAATATGTAAGATCCATATGTAAGATAGATAGAAAAACAAAGAAATGAGTAGAGAAGAATAAGAGAGAAGAGATACGCTGTAAAAACTCTCATCTTGTTCATTCACTTGAGCCCTATATATAAGGGAATATAATGTACATGAGTAAAGACCTAATGGGCTCCTGGCCCATACCTACAAATCTTATATTTAGGTAATGTCCACAATTTAATATTTACAACAATTTTCAAAATAAAGTAAGCAATAATGGTGCATCGCTGGGTGTACTAATTTAAATAAAAGTATAGAGCGTGTCTGATATATATTATTTATTATTCTTATAAGCATGAAGGTTTAAGCAAAGTTCTGTCGTGATAGCGAGCGCACTCTGTAGAACACGGCACACTGCACAGAGCAAATGATGAAGGTGGGTTTACATTTTTCTCATGGCGATTTATATCTTCTTCCCCAATTCGCCATGAATCAGGTAAATCCCTCTGCTGCTCTCAATCCTCGCTACTTTCTCGTTGTTTTTGTACAAAATGAGTTGTTGCTAGATTAAATTTTCGTGAGGAAATTAAGAACATTAATGGGTTGGATGATGCTCTTTGCCTGTATGCGAAACATGTCGAGAACGAGGCCTCTACCGAGTACTGTTCAGTTTAATCAATTGCTCTCGCGTGTGGTCAATCTGAAAGAGTACTCTGCTGCTATTAACCTTTTCAAAGACATCTGCAGTTTAGGGGTTTCAGTTGATGAATACACTATGAATATTGCTATCAACGGCCTTTGCCTTTCGGGTTGAGTCGATTACGGGTTCTCCGTTCTGGGTTGGTTCTTCAAGCGTGGTTGTTCTGCAGATGAATATACCTTCAACATCTTACTGAAAGGCCTGTTTCGAGAGAAGAGGATTAACGAATCACAAGAGTTGTTAAGGAAGATGGTTGGAGAAGGGCTTTCTGAGCTAAACATTGTAACTTGTGGTATTGTGGTCGACGGGCTTTGCAAGGTTGGTAACACCTCAATGGCCATTGAATTCCTCACAAACAATGGAGAAATGGACACTCAAGCCCAATGCACATGTATCTAACATTGTTATTGATGGCTTGTGTAAGGATAGAATGATAGACTCAGCCTTGGCGCTTTTGAAGGAAATGCCCGAGAAGGACATCCTGCCCAATGTCGTCACTTACAGTTCTTTGATCAGTGGTTTGTGTAATTTCAGGCGTTGGGAGGATGTAAAAGCTGATGAAGGAGATGGTGTTGTTCCAGATATATCCGAATGCGGTCACGTTCACCATCTTTATTGATGCTTTATGTAAGGAAGGAATGGTGGATGAAGCAGAAGATGTACTCGTAATCATGAAGCAGCAGCATGTAATTCCACAGGTCAGCTGTTACAATGCATTAATGAATGGATATTGTCCTCAAGGGCGTATGGATGAAGCAAGGAATGTTTTTGATTCACTGGGTAGTAGCAAGAATTGTGCTCCTGATGTTATTAGCTGTAACATATTAATAAATATCTATTGTAGAGAGATGAAGGTGGACGACACTATGGTTATCTTCCATGAGATGCCTCGTAAAGGGATCAAGCCTAATGTGGCTGTGTATAACACTATACTGGAGGGTTTCTTTCGTGTGAGCAACTGGCGCGTAGCGCTTGATATTTTCTATGAGATGCAAGCTGTCGGACTAAAACCTAACTTCTATACATACTGTAATATGTTGGATGGACTATGTAGGAATGGACAAGTCAAGAGGGCTTTATCATTGTTAGAAGCATTAGAGCGCAAGGGACAACATCGTCGTAATGAATACTATCCCATCGTCATGGATGGTTTGATCAGATCCAGTAAGCTCAATGCGGCTCGGGCTATTTTTGGAGATATGGTTTCGAAGGGATTGGAATGTAATGTGGTGACCTACACTGTTTTGATTAAAGGATGTTGTAAAAACGGGCTATTAGAGGAAGCTAAGGACCTTCTTTTCAAAATGGGACAATCAGGTTTGTATCCGGATGATGTTACTTATAACACTATTATCCGAGGGAGCCTATCAGGTGGCCGATATGATATGCAGAAATGTTTCTTGAGGAGATGGTTGCCAAAGGATTCTTGCTAGATTTAAAAACATTTGAAATGCTACTTAGTTTATTCGGCTCGAAGGAAAATCCCAAAATATTCAAAATTATTCAGAAGCTGGCGCCAAACAGTTTAAAACAAAAATTAGGAGCAGAGTAGATTCTTTGGGAAAAGGTAATAATATTATATGTTCCGTTCAATTACCAAAATGAATGATTGGTCTATGTTATAGCAATCAGATCATGCTGAGTGAGAGCTGGCATCACGCTGTTCAATCAAAGTGGTTGTGTAAGAAGTTATGGTCCTTTTGGAGAACTTGACCAACCACCTTAAGAACTGTCATTATAGAGTTCGATCAAAGTGGTTGAGACTTGAGTCTGGACCTGTTAAACTGAAGAAATCATTCAGAAAACAAAGTCATGGATCTTACATTAGTCTATTTGAAGATATTCACCATGTATTTGTTCAGCATAGGTGCTTCATAATTTTTATTGCTTGAACGAGCAACTCATTTTATTTGATGAACATAATCACCAAGGTAGATGATGTGATGAAATGGTTACAAATAATTACTTTGTGCTTTAAATCAGTTAATAAATTTACTAAGGGTTGATCACCAACGGTTACGTTGACATCTTTTGGGGATGTCTTGTCTTTTGACTAAATAGGATGAGTCTTGATTTGTAACACTCACCCCTCTGTTTTTGTAATCTCTTGCCACATGAAAAATTATTTAGTTTGCCTAGTTTTATGCGTTGTAACGTTAAAAGAAAGGAAAACACCGTGACGAGATGAACTTTCTAATCACTATTCACCCCCTTCTAAGTTTTCTATTATATTGATGGGTTTATTTTAATGTGTTTGGAGTTGCTTGCAGTTGTTGGAATATATCCAGGGATAACTATTTCTGTATTGCGAAATTCACCTTAGCTCTCACAATTTACAATGACATTCTTTCTTCCCAGGTCCACCCGCACACCTTCCTGAATGAGAGTCAGTTCTTGCACTTTCGACTACAGCCTAGGCAGGTTCACCCGTGCGCCTTCCGGAATGAATATCAGGTCAGCACTTCAACTTCACCCCATGCGGTTTTGTTTTGAATTTTTCTGTACTTTTGTCCATGAAAAGATTCAATGTCCCGGCGTATTAATCATCCAAAATTAACCTGAGGTTTTGTTTTGTACTCTTTTCATGGGCTACAATGGTCATATTTTGGTTCATAATTGTGGTCAATTGAAGCTCTCATTTCTGTATTTGTTTTTTATTTTTCATGCTACAATGGTAAAATATGAATTTGTCTACAACTGTTGCTTGCTAGATTATTTGGTTTCAAGAAATTTATTATAGATGCATTCATGCTATTGCTCTATATTTCTGCAGGTTCATGTTTAAAACATTGCTGAAATTCAAATTCACGTACCTTTTATCGTCCAAGGCCCCCAATTCCATTTTAGTCGAAATATTGACTCAAAATTGTTCTTGATTTGAAGATATTATCTCCTTCTCTAGGAGTACTAAAGGTTGTTCTTGGTTGGACTCAAAATTGGTCTTGTTTCTCATTACATTTAGTTGCCTGAAACATTGCAGGTCTGGCCACTTATGAATACAGCTTCCATTTAATCGACAATGGTCGCCGGTTTTTCGCCATGAGGTTTGGCAGAAAGGTGCCAAAACTCAACAGGCCCCCCGAATAGAGGCGGGCCCTCTTACGTTGCCTGACTACTCAACTTCTCAAGTATATGGGCGCATCAAGACCACGAGAGCCCAAGCAATTGCAGAATTGGTGAATTTGCTTCTTCTGCTAGCTTTTTGCTGGATCGCGACTAGAGAAATCCCCCGCAAAAATGTTATATGCATTATGGAAAAAGTCGCGATCGAGTAATATAATGCTGGATGACAGAATCTGGATAGCACAATATTCGAACTCACGAATTGAAAAAAAAAAAAAAAAAAAAAAAAAGAAAGAACGATCGTGCGCAATATCGTCTTCACCAGTTGCATGTTCTTTTGATCTTCTGGCATAGTCGATTAACAGTAGCAGCCACCAACATTTTTGCCCGGAAGCCTGAAGAAAATTCGAAACCATCTTCAAGTTTGTGGGTCCTGAGAAATCTTCCTGGTAATGGAGGTACGTCGGTTTTTTCATCCGCGTCGCTCGTCAAGGGCAACAACATATCATACTGTCAACCATGTCCATCAAACACTAAAAGGCTCATCTCCTTGTCGTCAAGATGAACTGTGTACAAAGTTCATGGGTAAGTGAAATTCACCTAAATTTACTTTAATCAAGAAAAGAGGATCTGTGAAAAAAAAAAAAATATATATATATATATATATATATATATAAAATAAAAACTACTTTAATCAAGAAAAGAGGATTTGTGAAAATATATATATAAAAAAAAATTAAATTAGGAGGTAAAATACACCTAAAATTTACTTTAATCAAGAAAAGAGGATTTGTAAAAATATAAAAACAAAATAAATTCAAATTAGGAGGTAAAATAAAAAGGACACTAATTTGAAAGATAAAATTCCATTTTGTTTCAGTCAACAAAAACAGATGAGGTTGGTTGTTTTTCTTTCATTTTTCTTGTGTCTTAGGCGCACTATCTTCTTCTCATTGTTGCTAAATTCAAGAAAAGTGTGAGATGTTTGCTAATTTATTTTGATATCCTACTTTTATTTGTTGTGTTTTCCAGGGAAAAAATAGGAGGCAACTGATTCCTGGCAGCCATGTTCGCTTCAACTGCTCTGAATATCAACGATAGCCACTGATCGGTCATGAAACCTTCAAATCTTTTGAGCAGGAAATTGGGCATCCCTTTCAAACCGATCGTGGCTGTCGTTGATTCTTCCAGTCCAACTGAAAAGGTGTGCAAATGTAAATTTTAGTTTATACTATTTTTGGGTGACCCATTTGATCAAACTTGTGAAAATGTAATGACAGTGAACAGCCGTTTTATGATTTCTGTTGTAGAATGTGGACTCTCTGAATGTTTTAAGTGCTTATTATCGCAAATAATTAGGCACACCTTGCTAGGTGTGCCAAGGCCGAGAGTGAATGCACGTAAAAAAAAAAAAAAAAGAGAGTGACTTTAAATTGAAATTGTTGTCCAATTTATTCTAGCCCACGCGCAGAGAGAGGACAAGGTAAGTGAGATAAGGTAGGTATTGTTTAAATGACATGTGTCTTATTTTTATAGGTTAATGAATTTTATATATCATATTAAATAAATTAAATTATCAACTATATTTTATATTAAAAAATAAAAATAAAAATATCAAAATTCATAATTTTTCATTCTCTACAAATAGAGACCACATTTGATAGATTTTGGAATACAATTAATTTATTATTTTTTATAATTAATTTATGTTATTAGAATATGATGACACAAATCTATAATAAAATGAACATGTTACATAGTAAGATGAACATGTTATATAATAAGATGAACATGTTATAGAATAAGATGAAAATGTTACATATTTACAAAATAAGGTGAACATGTTGTAAAATAAGATGGATATGTTACATAATGAAATGAACATGTTATAAAATAAATAAATAAATAAAAAATAAAAAAAACAAGATGAACATGTTACATATTTACACAATAAGGTGAACGTGTTACAAAATGAGATGGACATGTTATAAAATAAGATGAACATGTTACATAGTAAGATGGACATGTTATATAATAAGATGAACATGTTACATAGTAAGAAGAACATGTTATATAGTAAGAATGTAAGATGAATATGTTATATAATAAGATGAAAATGTTACATATTTACAAAATAAGGTGAACATGTTATAAAATAAGATGGATATCTTACAAAATGAGTAAGATGAACATATTATATAGTAAGATGAACATGTTATAGAATAAGATAAACATGTTACATATTTACACAATAAGACGAACATGTTACAAAATAAGATGGATATGTTACAAAATGAGATGAACATGCTATAAAATAAGATGAACATATTACATAATGAGATGAACATGTTAAATAGTAAGATGAACATGCTATATAGTAAGATGAATATGTTTTAGAATAAAATGAAAATGTTACATATTTACAAAATAAGGTGAACATTTTTGGGAGGTTTGGATGGCATGAGGTGGAGACTTACATCTTCGGGTGCATTCTCTACGTCATCAGCCTGGGGAGAAGTGAGACCGGGCAACCGGCCAAACCGCCTCTTCGGTGCCATATGGACCGACCTTTTCACCCCGACCATTTCCGTCTTTTTGACTCGACTATACTATAATTTAACTCTATTATACTAAGTTTGACTCGACTATACTACAATTTGACTCGATTATACTAAGTTTGACTCGACTGTACTAGAATTTGAATGAATCATACTAGAATTTGAATTGATTATACTAGAATTGAATTGATCATATTAGAATTTGAATCGATTATACTATAATTGAATATATCATACCAGAAATGACTCGACTATACTAGAATTGGCTCGATCATACTACAATTGACTCGATTGTGCTAAGTTTGACTCAATTATACTAAATTTGACTCAGTTATACTTGGTAAAATGAATATGTTACTTTGTAAAATGAATAAGTGTCTTGGTAAAATGAACATGTTCATTTGAATGTGTTACTTTGTAAAATGAATAAGTGTCTTGGTAAAATGAACATGTTCCTTTGTAAAATGAATAGGTTTCTTGGTAAAATGAATACATAGAATTGAATTGATCATATTAGAATTTGAATCGATTATACTATAATTTGACTCGATTATACTAAGTTTGA